TGCTAATAAAGCACAAAAGCAAGGTCCAAAAAGATTAAGATGTTGTGAGTAATTTAAACACACATCTGAGGGGCGCCTGGGTGGCTGGGTTAAGCGTTTAAGCCTCTGCCTTTGTCTCAGGTCATGGTCCCAGGATCCTGCTCAGCAAGGTGTCTGCTTCTCCTTCTCCCTCTGCCCCTGCTCCTGCCCTGCTCGTGTGCACTCTCTCTGTCTCCTACTCTCTCTCTCTTTCACTCGTGCTCTCTCTCAAATAAATAAATAAAATCTTAAAAAAATCTGAATGCAGCTCAAAAGTATTTATGAAAATGCAAAGCTAAAAAAAAAAAGAAAGAAAGAAAATGCAAAGCTACCTAACACTAAACACAATAAAAGCACAGTGTTTGTCATCCAATCAAAACTTACAGGCATGCAAAAAACAAGAAAATATGACTGCCAGGAAAAATCTGTCCATTGAAAACAACCCAGAAATAACACTTCCAGAGAAGAAATTATAATCTATGAAATGAAAAAAATACTCTAGATGGAATTAAAGCAGGTTAGATATTGGAAAAAAAAATTAGTAAACTTGAAGATGAAGATGAATGGGAACTATTTACAATGGCTAAGAGGCAAAAAGGGAGACTAAACAAACAGCACCAGGGCACTGTATTGCACATTTAGGGGACCTAGCATAATTGGAATGAAATTTCCTTAAAGAGAAGAATATAGGGCAAAAAAATATTAAAGAGACTGGATGAAAACTTTTCCAAGTTTGAGGAAAGCCATAAAGTCACAAATTCAGGAAACTTTATCAAATACAAAATAGATGAAGCATATTATAGAAAGGTATATCATAATCCAATTGCTTAAAACCAGTGCCACAATTTAAAAGCATCCTGAGGAACAACTGGCAGTGTATGAAGAGAAAAATAAACATTAAAGACAATGCAAAATTTTTGTTGTATTGGTACAAAAAACAACACATCTAAAGCTGTACCTAGAGGGAAATTTATTTATCACTAAAACGCACATATGAGAATAATAGTAGGCTCAAATCAATGACCTCGGCTTCTGACTCAAGGACATAGAGAAGAAGAGCAAATGAAGCCCAATGTAAGCAGAAAAAAAGAATGAAGATCAGAGCCCAAAAAGAAAAAAAAAGAAAAGAAAACAAACTATTGAAAAAGCAATTAAACCTGTTCTTTGAGAAGATCAATCAACTAAAAAGTCTAGTCACACTGGCCAAGAAAAAAATGGCTATCATTACTAGAATATCAAAAGGATAATATGAACATTACGAACAACTTTTGAAATTCATCAACTTTGATGAAATTCAAAAATTCCTTGAAAGATGAAGAAAAAGGAAAAAAAAACAAGCTTACAACTACTAAGGAAATAAAGTTTGTAGCTGTAACTCATATAAAAAAGATAACACAGTCCTTTGCTTTTAAGTTCTACCAAACATTTAAAGAAAAATAATGTCAATTCTATGCAAACTCTTCCAAAAAATTAAAAGAGGATCTTATACTTCTGACTGCATTCTGAGACAGTATTACTATGACACCAAATCCAAACAGGCATTACATGAAAACACAACTTTAAAATTATGTCCCAATAAAAATGGGTGCAAAATTATTTTTAAACTTTAGTAAACTGAATTCAACAATATATAATTATAGTATAATGTGGCTAAGTGACATTTATCCCAATATTTGAAAAATAAATCAAATAATACATTATTTTACTATATGGCCATCTTAATAGACAAAGAAAATACCATTTGACAAAATCCAAACTCTATTCCTGATAAAAATACTTAGAACAAAAAGAATAGAATAAAATTGTCCCTGCAGATGGCATCATACTGAATGATGAAAGACTAAATGATTTCTTCATAAGACAAGGAAGAAGGCAAGGATTTCTGTTCCTATTACTTCTATTTAACATTGTTTTGGAGGTTCTTGCCAGGGCAGTAAAGCAATAAAATGAAGTATAAAAAATGTTTTTGTAGACATAAAACCCACAAAATACAGCTGAGAAAAATCTCTATATAGGCAGAGAAAAATATGTTATTTTGGGTTAATAGATTCAGTATCATTAGGATGTCATCAATTCTGCCTACATTAATCTACACACTTAACACAACTCAAATAAAAATTCTAGCAGAATCTTTTGTAGCAGTTGACATATGAAAATACAAAGGGCCTAGAATTACCAAACAAATTTAGAAAATAAAAAACAATGACAGTATTTAATTTCAAGACTTTTTATAAAAGTACAGAAAACTGTGATTTTTGCAAACATAGATAAATATATAATTGGATCAGAAGAGAGAGTCCAGAATTAGGTCCATATATACATGGGCAATTGAATTTTGACAGTGGTATGAAGGCTATTCAGTGACAAGAATAGTATTTGCAACGCATGGTGCTGGAAACATTGGGGATCCATACACCAAAAAGCAAAATGAGGTATGATCCATACCTCATACAATATAAAAATTAACTTAAAATGAATCATTGATGTAAATATAATACTGAAAACAATAATCTTCTAGAAGAAAACATAGAATAAAAATTTTGGGATCAGGCAGATGTTTCCTATATAAGGCACTAAAAACTCAATCCATAAATTAAAAGTTAATAAATTAGATTTCATCAAAATTGAGAACATTTGCCTTTTGAAAGTCACTTTATGGGAATGTAAATACAAGCCACTAACTGGGAGAAAATATTTATAAATCACGTATCTGATAAAGGACTTGTATCCATTGTGTGAAGTGTGTATGTGTGTGTGTGTGTGTGTGTGTATCTCCAAATCAATAATAAAGAAATAACACAGAAAATCTAAGCAAGTATTGAATAAACACTTCATCAAAGAACATGTATGGGTGGCACATTAAGCATATAAAAAAAGTTCAACATCGTTGGTCAGATAGGCAATTAAGATACTATTATACACCTATTAGAATGGCTACAGTTAAAAAAGGTTGACTCTTTATGGTCCAATCATAACACTTCTAGGTATTTACTCAAGAAAAATGAAAACATAACTATACAAATTCTGATTCACAAATGTTTGTATATATACTTACATACGAATGTGTATAAAGGTATTGCAATATCCAAGTGTTTGAAACAACTCAAAATGTCAACCGATAAGTGAACAGATAAGCAAATTGTGGTATCTCTGTAAAATGGAATACTTTTCAGCAATTGGAGGGATAAACTATTGATGCACATAACAACATGGAAAAATCTCAGTATAGTTAGGCTAAGTGAAACAAGTTAGACAAAAGAATAAATACTGTATGATTGCATTTGTACAAATTCAAGAAAACCCAATATAATCTGATCTATATTGAAGAAACCTGATCAGTGTTTGCCTGGGGATTAGGGGATGGGTTCTAGGAAGTTTGGGAGGGAGGCATTAAAAAGTACATAAGCAAACTTTTGGGGGTAAGATATATGTTCGTTTTGTTGATTTTGATGTTTTAGTGGGTGTATGAATATACAAAAGTTTATCAAATCATACAAATTAAAGTGAAATTTATTGTTGGTCGGTAATACATCAATACATTTGTTAAAAAAGAATTAAAAGGCTGTAATTTTCTAAGCCAACATGTCTATAGTTGGAGCTTATGAAATTCCCTATTGTGGGCAATGGGAAAAATGAAAGGAAACTAGACCAAATTCTGAGGGACAAAAACCATGTTTTGCCCTTTGCATAATTTTGTCCCTGAGGGATCTGCCTTGTATAACTCAAGTCAGTCCAATTAGTCTACAAATGAGGAACATTATATTAATTATCTCTAATTAGTAAACAGGTCATTAAGAAAGCAGACTAGGTCTGCCAAAGATTTGGCTATGCATTCAGATCAACGATAGTTTGAATCATCAGTCTGTTAATTATTTGTACTGTGTCCTTTAACCCTTTGCATCTCAATTTATTCTTTTATAAAATTTGGGTGATAACAATTGTACTGCCAAAATAAAGTTGTGGTGATGCTTAACTGAACTAATAAATATAAATCTCTTTAGATTCTCTAGCTTTTAGCAAGTGCTCAATAAATGGTAACAATTATCTTACGGAAGAAGGGATAGGCAAAATGTTTGACAGTCTTGTGTCATGAATTTAATGCCACAGTTGGACATAGCTACCCATCCTCACCCACCCATCCTATCCATTCATGACTATATTTGCATTCCCCCTAAGAACCACATGTAGTAATCACTTAAGATTCCAGCATATTTGAAAGCTTTGAAAACGTTAATGCAATATTCAAACTTTGGGAAAGTATTAACACTATACTTCACAATACCATATTAATTTTAATGTTTGCCATACTCAAATATCATTACTTTCTTTACTAATTCTCTGTTATTATTAGAATATAATCGACATCCTGTTTTTTTCCCAAAATTTTAATAGATGGTATGCTGAGTGATTATTTTTAAAGGAGAAACCAGTATTAACCAAATGTTAACTGCCTGGAATTTAAATAAAAATTTGAACAAACAGTGTAAAAACAAACAAAAAAGATGTTTCAACATTTTCAAATTACTTCTTAATAGTATTTCTGGAATAATTTTTTTCTAATTTATCTGTTTAGATTACTTATTATTTGAACTGTGATTTCTCCAAGAGAGACAATGAGATGGGAATCACAACAGCTAAAGTATTAAAATCACAGACTCTGGAGCCAGATGGCCCGATTCTCAAACCCAGCTCTGCCACTCACTAATAACCTGTTTGGCAGGTTATTTAAATTCTTAGTAACTTAATCTTATCTGCAGGCAGGTATAATAATAGGATCTACCTCATAAAGTGATGAGTTAAATGCAATAATACATTGAGATCACTTAGAAGGCAGTCCAGCTAGGAGTTTGTGCTATGGAAGTGTTTAGTCTTGTTACTGTACTTGATCATACATAGTACAGTGTAATTCTTTTCACACACGCTTATAAATAGTGAGAAGATGATTATTTTTCTGCAAACTTAAAGTTTCACAAAATACTTACTTTATTAAATTGTTCATGGCATCTGGGTCATATGCTGTAACCTGTCCAATGATGCTGCCCTCCTTTACATCTTCATCTACTTCTATCAAGTAAAAAAGTTTACTGAACACAGGAGGCTCATCTATATCTTGCACAGATATTTTGACCACGGCTGTGTCTTTGAAAGGTCCCAGGTGTAGGAATCGTGGATCAGGGTGAGTGTTACTTGCATCCACTCTTAAAGTGTACAGCATTTGGTTTTCAAAATCTAAATTCTGAAGTTAAATAAGAAAAATTAGTATAATATAGCAGACATGACAATGGAAGACAATATTAAAGTTTAATAACCAGCTCTGTTAATGGTACCAGTAATTGTGGTTAAAAACTTTCCCAATTATTGCTTTACAGGAATATCAAATAAATTAGTAATTTTTTGTTTTGTCTTATGCTTATTCATACAGGGTAACTGAATATAATGGTATGCACATTAAGATCAAGTCCTACTTGATAATGCATTTCACATTTTGATGGCCACAGGCAAATGTATTATCTAATGGACATATAGATTATTTATTATTATTATTACTATTAAAGTTATACAAAGTTAAAATCAGAGAAAATATAGAATCAAGTAGAGATTCAGCAAACTATTCATATAAGTTGCTTCCTTTGGTCCAAAATTTCTAAAACTGTTATTTTAAAAAGTAAAACAAAACATATATCATTAATCTGAACACTGTGGAAAGCAAGATGTAAATGAAAACAGAATGACCAGGAAAATAGAACATAATCCACATTTAGCTGGATTATAGTATGTAAAGTTTCATAATGTTTTCCCACACTGCATCCAACCTAAAACATGCAGAATCTTCAGGTTTCATCTGCTTGAAGAGGCTAATTTAAATATTTTAAAAAGTGCATGAAACAAAGTTATGGCTGTATGACTTTTGGGGGCCACAGAAAATGTAAAACAAGTACTTCTGAGGCTATCTAATCCTAGTTTGATTTTCTACTCTAAGCACAAGTAGTTAAGGTTTTGCATCACTTTTTAAGTGTCAGTGATGAAGATGGTTCACTTATTTGAGATGAAACCACAACCATACCGACTTCTATGAAAGCTGGACAGTGTGGAAAAATAAATCCTAGGCTTTTCTTCCCTTAACTGAAAAGCAAAAATAAACTATAAGCGCTCAATGAAAAAATGAAGACAGCGTAAAGAAACCTGTTTGACAGTTATAATCCCTTCCTGTGTATCCTTGTCAGTGATGACATCAAACATGTCTGCTCCATCTCCTTCAGCAATGCTGTATTCCATCTCAGCATTTTCCCCCACATCAGGGTCATTGGCTTTTATCCTTCCAAGATGGGTTCCAAGAGGTACAGACTCAGGAGAATTAAATTGATACGTACCTGAAAATTAAATCAGAGATGTTTTGATATTTCGACTTTAGATAACAAAAATCTTTCATTTCCTCTGCCTTTTTTACTTCAATAAATTAATTTTAAATCAGGAGAGTTTTTTTTTCATATTGAATTGTAATTATAAACTGTCAAAAAATAGGTTTATTAAGTTGGAAAAATAATTTATAAAGGCAGAACACTCTCATTTTGTAAATGAGAAATACTAAGTTCCAGGAAGATTAAGTGAGTGAGTTTCCAAGGTTATTTAGACACTAGGTGGTAGACATGATATTAGAATCCAGAACTTTTGCTCAAGAGGGCAAGAAAACCGATTATTAACTATGTATCTAGAGCTTTTAATATTGTCATTATATATTTTTACATATTTTAAATTATTTCAAAAACATGGACTTATTCTTATATCCTAAGTCAGGGATAGAAAACTAAATCCATACACAGAAACTTTCCTTTCTTCCTTCCTTCCTTCCTTCCTTCCTTCCTTCCTTCCTTCCTTCCTTCCTTCCTTTCTTCCTTTTTTGCTTCTTAATTAATGACTTTAAGTGAGATATGAATGTTTCTATTTCCTGCAGTTTTCAGCCAATCATTATATTGCTCTTTGCTGTCCTTGAAAGGATTTTAATTTGTGACTATTATTCAAGAGACAATAGGAAAAAGTTACAAAAAGAGTTAATGAAAGTTAGAAATGTTTTTAAACACTTAATATGTGCTGAACTCTGTATAAGGCCAAAGGCTCTCAATATTAATTTATTTAATTCTAACACTAGTCCTCATAAGACCAAGGTAGTAGATACATGATCTTCAGGGATAGGGCTCAAGGAAATCATCCTATGAAATTGAGAAATGCAGGGTGAATAACTAAGTTTTTCTGACTTCAAAGTCTATACTCTTCCCAATTTGCTTGGTGATTAAGAAGGACTTCTAAATCCAACTGCCTGGATTGGAATGCTCATCACTGGGCAAGTTAAATTCTCTAACCCTTGATTTCTATGTCTATAAGAATAGGGTATGGTGACAGGAATTAACTTGTAGTTTTTTTTTATGATAATTACATGAAATTATGTCTTTAATATGTTTACTCCATGGCTAGTTCTTAAATATTTTTATTATTACTGCTATTATAGTTCTAAACCTTTGGCTAAGATTATAATAGATCCTGGAATTATAGAGTGGCAAACCATTTGAGAATTCAAGTCATACTCTTTCAGTTTATATTTAAGGAAACTGAGTGCAAAGTTTAGATTTATGTTAATTAAACTTATTATTTATATTCTCAGCAAACTTTTTAAAACATTTATCAGATGTGTAGGTCAAACATCCAAAGTTGAATCATCAAATATTTTAAATTTGACTAGTTTGGAAAATGCTCTAATGTATTGGATTCAATATCATAAATTTAAATTTGAGACCCCTTAATTGACTATTTCAGAATAGGGCCCTTTATATTTTTATTCACTGCAGAAAGGGAACATCTGCAGCAAAGGATTAGAACCTGTTTTTATAGGAACTCATGGCATGCAAAGCATCCATGGTTTAACATACATGCCTAAAATGGTGATGACTAAAAACGTATTGACTAATTTAATCTTTGTAAGTAGGTAACAGGTATTAGCAAACTTTAACACGTCTCAGATGCTATCAGAACTAAGATATACCATAACTCTATGGGCCATTAGAAAGAACAAATGCTGCCAATTAAACCCAACTTGCACTGATTTTGATACAGTATCTATTTCAGAGACTTTAAAACACGTAGTGTGTGTTTTAGAATCAATTGAACATAATAAAAAATAAATACGGGAGTAGTATTCTTATATACGGACAAGATAACTGAGGTCAGAGGTGACAGACGTGGATTTGTAACCATGTTAAAAAGGCAGTCAGAATTGAGAGTCCACACTGTGAACCATGAAAGAGATAAGAAAAAGAGTGAGATGATCATAGTGAATATTGGGAAATCAATTTGTGGAAATTGTGATATTTTGTCAGGGGGACAGGTTGTGGATTTGCCTTTCTTCATAAACTAATCGTGAAAATACTAGTACAAATATTAGCCTCTGTTTGTAGTGGTGTAGGAGAAGGCTTCGGACATGAGATAAATAAAACCTTCCTTACTCTGGGGAAATCGAGGAGGATTGTTGTTGACATCTGTCAGAGTGATGTTTACTGTGGTGGTTCCAGAAAGGCCTCCCATCTGGCCGCCCATGTCTTTGGCTTGTATAACCACTTGATACTGCTCTCTATTTTCTCTGCTCATGTCTGGTAGTGCAGTTTTTATTATGCCTTTTAGAAAAAATAGACAAATATTTTACAATGTAATCACTGAGTTTTAAGATTAACCTATGCAAGATCTATTTTACAGAAGTTCATCATAACAAACAGATAAAAAGTTGGTGTACCTAAATGTATGAAATCCATAAACATTAAATTGTAATGGACAGAACAGAAAGAGTTCTTCTGTTGGGGTTCAGTAGAGCATGAGATTAGCCATAATACCTCGCTTGCTAAAATGTAACACGGAGGCCCCTGAGGGCAGGGAGGGTTTCGGAGAAGGGCGTAGACCTTTGGGATTCTGAGGCCCGCTTGGCCCCTCTGCCGTTGGAATGCTGGGGGGAGTTGCCTTCCCCGAAGCTCTCTTAGCCCAAACAGCCGCCCTGTGATCTCAGAGATGTATGCATTGTCCCCTAGGCTATGTTTAGCAGAACACGCAGATCAGCATATCTTTCCCATAAATCCTCCCAGTTTCAGTAAGACCCCTTGTCACACATCACATGCTTGAGAAGCAGTGATAAAGATTTGTGATTATCCTGAAGGACTCATAAAAGCGGGAGCAAAGAAGAGCAAAGGGTCTTCGTCTCGGAGCGTTGACCCCCTTGCCTTCTCCTCTCTTCCACGACAAAGTTTGGAGTCATCTTTCATCCCTCGGTACAGGGATTGCTGGTCATTCCCAGCATTCTTCCACAGGCTATTGTACAGGGAATGAGTTTTGCTAAATCAATTTAATTATCTTTTTGATTAAAAAAATTAGCTTCATTCAGAAATCTTCAGATTAATAAGCTTGCTTGATTTTGATGATTCTCACATTCTTTAGGTTTTGAGTATTTCCTATGACACATAAAGTGCTAAATCTCTGAAATTTTGTTTTTGGTGTCATGAATTTATAATAAAATAATAAATAATAGTCTCAAAAGCTAACAGTTCAAATAATCTATTTAAATAATATGAAATTTGCTTTTATTTCCATGGAATACCTGTAGGGAATAAGTGAAAGCATGATACTGAATCAATAGCTTTTAAACTACAGAAAAATCTATAGTTGTGCATCCAGATGCATTACAACATGAGAAAGAGACCAAGTCTTAAATGTTATTACCTGATTCTGGGTCCACTGAAAAATATGGCTGTCCTTGCAATATGCTGTAGACCACTTTGGCACTGTTTCCATAGTTGGCGTCATCTGCATCTGTTGCAGTCACTTGTATAACAGATGTCCCTAGATGAATCCCCACCCAAACACACACACTTAAATACTTCTAACTTCGAAAACTGTCTTTCTGAAAAATTACTGCAAGTCGTGTGGTGTGTTAGACAATGGTATATGTTTAAAGGAATTTGTTTAAATGATGTTTCCTCAACACACACACACACACACACACACACACACACACACACACACATGTCTTTTTCATTCCTTTCTTTAAATTTAAATATCCCTTAATTTTATGGTTGGAGCTATCTGTAAAAAAATCAGCAACCTATTTTATCGTAAAAATGAACATAATGAGACAAATGCACTGCATTTTTTTGATCAAAAATATTGAAAGGAACAATTTTTCACTGAATACAATGCACATACAATTTTCAATTAATGCACTTATTGCTAACTGGAAATGTGTATTCAGAGATAAAACCAGCATTGGTAAGACCCAGGCTGCTTTTTACTCTGGTAAATTAACTGTATATTGTAAATAGAAAAAAAAATTGAGGGGTCCTATTTTTATAAAAAACAAAATGACCTAAAATTGACCTGTCATTTTGTGTGTGTTTGAGATATAAATGATTATTAAACATCTGTGTCTCCCTTTAAAATGTAGTTATCAAAGTCATATATGATTATATTTATTGATATGCTACCTATTATTTGCTGCACAAAATGAAATCATAGATATTTCCCCCCAAAGTTAAGAACGTATATAGTTCTATTACAGGCAATACTGTAATTTAACACCACTCTGTTTAATTTTATTTTATAAAACTTAAACCATTTTCTTTTAATTTTATCACAAATTATCTTTAGATGATAAAAGAATTTTAAAGGGGCTAGTTTCAGGAGCTTAACATAATGTAGTGTATTAATGGGCTTTTCTGATATTTCACTAATCATTATAAAGATTGAAAGCATGGTTATAAAACTTCTATTAACTAAAACCTTCTATGTATCCCTTGGGCAAAATGAGTTTGTATGACATTTTCTAGTATACTACATATAATTTTCCAAAGTTTGACTGATTCTTACATAGATTTTAAAATTCCTTAGGACAGGGCAAGTTCCATCTTGGCCCTGTCACCTACTTTAATACCCCATATGTTACACACTCAGAATTTGTCTCATTGACTTGTAGTGAATGTTTCTCAAAATTTGCATGTATATGCTTATGCAAATCCTAAAAATTAATTACTTGTACATTAAGAGTAAATTAACAGCTCATTTTCCATCAGTGTATCTGAACACTAACACATGAATTTAGCAGTAGTCTTTTTTATGTTTTTTTCAAAATTCATTAACATAAGAGAACTTGAGCTCTTTCTCTTCAGGCCTAGAACTGATACTTGGTACATCCTGTGTGAGGACACACTGTGACGGATCCTAGGTGTTCTCCTTTGTCATTTAAAAAACACCCACTCACATCCTTGCCAAAGCAAAAATAATAAAGTGATCTCCACCTCCCCACAATAATGTTTAGAAGTTAAACTAAAGTGGTTTTATGATTTATATTGAATTTTTTTATATAAACCTATGTGAACATACATTAGTTAGAATAAGAATTGTTTTCATAGTTGAGGATTCTTTGACATATGAATTATTCAGTGTAATCAATATGCTAAATGAAAGTAGTTAATTCATCAATTTCATGACATGTATTTTGCTACCACTTTCATTTTTCTTTTACTGTGGATATCATTTCATAATGAAAACAGGTAAAAATACTCCTCTATACCTTTTGACACTTTTAATAATATACTTTGTTGTTCAATCTGTTTTCTATTGTTTGCTTTTTATTGTGGGTATGTGATCTTAGAATATATCCAAAATACTTCACCTCAAAAAGACAAATAATTTAATCTAAAGAATAAAAATCTTGTAATGTGACTAAAATGTTATACACACTCAGATAGTACTAGTACTATCCCTTCTTTTAGAATCAGGGTAATGATTAGGAATGCTGTTAAACACTGATGACCACTGACAGCATATTATTATGATATTTATAATGGTAGAATGAAAAAGAAGTACCTAGTGTGATGGACTTTAAGGAATGGGTAGTTGTATTTATTTCATAGGTTGTATTTTTTTCATACACTTATTGCACAGTTAATATTTAATAATAAAATTAGAAAGTAGTTTCTGTGTTTTTTGTACTGATGTTATAACTGTGTGCTTATAAAGATGGATTAAAAAATTGTGATTTTTATACCCCTCTGAATTTTCTGAAATATTTATAATTTTCATTTGTTCTCAAATAATTTAAAATATTTTACTTTTATATTAAACAAAGATTAAAAAATTAACTATAGTGAAGCCTGAATGACAAGTTTATTATATTTGTTATTTGTAGGCTTTGTCCTGTGTGATGTAAATTCTCCAAAGGCAGAGGCCATGTCTGGTTTTATTCAACAGTTTATCTTTGAAGTGCAACAGAGTTTCTAGCAGAAAGTCATAAGGAGAATGAACATTTACAGAATGCTTAAGGTAGACTAGGCAGAATACTCAGCCCTTAATTTACATGAGTACTTTATTCTCTTGAAAAGCATGAGATGAAGGCCTTGAGACATAGAGAGGTTGCTCATGGCCACACATCTAGTAGGTGATAGAGATGGGATTCAACCAAGCTAGTTTGAGGAAAGGAGCACCGTTCTAACTACTTCATTAAATGGCTTGTCTGGCACTGTGGCTATGATTAGACACATTATTGAATCCACAGGCAGTGAACCCTAAGAAGGGCTTGGATTAAGTCTTAAAGGATTCATTAGTGAGTTCTGTGTGTGATCTGTGAAAACTACAGAGGGATTTCTTGTTGAGGAGATGATGTGGGAGGGGCACTGGATAAGATTTTTTTTTTAAGATTTTTTATTTATTTATTTGAGAGAGAGAATGAGAGAGATAGAGAGCACGAGAGGGAAGAGGGTCAGAGGGAGAAGCAGACTCCCTGCTGAGCAGGGACCCCCCCCCCCCCGATGCGGGACTCGATCCCCGGACTCCGGGATCATGACCTGAGCCAGAGGCAGTCGCTTAACCAACTGAGCCACCCAGGCGCCCCACTGGATAAGTTTTTGAGAGACCGGTTTGGGGAAATACCCAGTCCATGAGAAAGTAAACCCCGCAAATTTACACAGTAAAGGATTTTGCTTAGATGAAGATGAATGCATGCAAATATAGAAAAGTGATAGATAATCTCTAATCAAAGTTTAATGAACACAAAAAGTAAAAAGATATAAAAAGTTGGGATCTGCCATAATTATTTAAATCAGTGTATCCTATTTTCCTTCATTATATATCCTTATGTATTATCCAGATTATGTGTTCTGATGAGAAGATGCTAATGCATTTCAGATTTCAACAATTGGAATCATTTGATTTTAACTTTTGAAAAGGAGAGAAGCATGTGATTCTGGAAACACAATGGAATAGGGCATATGGTTTTGACAGAAAGAAGCATGGGCAGAGCAATAAAACAGGGAGAGGAGTGACTGAGACAGAAAAAGAAGAGACAATTAAGACAAAAATAAACAGGGAAAAAGGCACAGTGTGAGGGAGAACATTGGAGAATATTATTGGGGAGAAGGGTAGGATAATAATAAAGAAATTTCATTTTATTTCATGAGAATTTACCTCCAAAGTTAACAGGTTTTTGTTTTTTTTTTTAAGCTCTGGTTTAAATGAAAATCACTAATATAATGAAAATAATATCAGAATTAAATCATTGTGCATTACTTAATTTACAGAAGCATTCTTTATTATTTGTTTATGTACGGGCTTTAACTCTTAGTGTGTAGGTTACACATAGCTTGAAAAAGTTCCCAAGTATCACCCTTTAGTTTTTCTGTAATTGATGATCTACGTGGGTAAAAACAGACAATCACATCTATAAAGTTATACTGAGTTAATGTTAATTTTCTTTTAGAGTTACATACAACAAAAAAATATAATTTCAAAATATAAAATGCATAGACTTTTTATTTAGATATTTTATACATTAATAGATCTAAAATCTTAATGTAAAATGCAGTCACCCCCTTTCCTGTTATTTGGATTTAATTTTATTGAGAAGCACATTTGAATTAAAAGAATAAAATAAGAAAAATACTGGGGCGCCTGGGTGGCTCAGTCATTAAAGCATCTGCCTTCGGCTCAGGTCATGGTCCCAGAGTCCTGGGATCGAGCCCCACATTGGGCTCCCCGCTCGGCGGAAAGCCTGCTTCTCCCTCTCCCACTTCCCCCCTGCTTGTGTTCCCTCTCTCGCTGTGTCTCTCTCTGTCAAATAAATAAATAAAATCTTAAAAAAAAAATACTATGGGGTAACTAACAGGGTGATGGGTATTAAGGAGGACATGTGATGTGATGAGCACTGGGTGTTATACGCAACTAACGAATCAATGAACACTACATCAAAAACTAATGATGTATTATATGTTGGCTAATTGAATTTAAATAAAAAAAGAAAAATGCTGCTTTTGAGGAGTTACTAAGAATCTAATAAAATTAGAAGTTTTCCATAATAAGCACAACTATTTTGCAGTAGGGGAAAATACTAAGGCATTAAAATTATCCAGTATTCCCTGCTTTTATTAACCTTTTTTTCTTCTTATAACTAGTAAAGTAATAAATAATGTGTTTTGTGGTAAGTCAGTTTAACTTTTTTGGGCTTATTTTTACTTATTTATTAGAAGAAGTGTAATGTGGTGTCTTCTGTGTGTGTGTGTGTGTTTGTGTGTGTTGGCGTATAATATGTACATTTCTACTAAAAAATAGTCACACATACAAAGTCTATCTGTGGGTCAAATAGGAAGCAATTAATTCAGTGTTGTCAATCTTAGTAGTAATAATAATTATCGTTCATAAATAGGATCAAGATTTACCTGTAGTTTTTATTTATTATTAAGGTTTTATTTATTTATTTAGTTGAGAGAGAAAGAGAAAATCTTGAATAGACTCCTAGCTGAGTGCAGAGCCCATCACAGGACTCCAACCCAGGACCCTGAGATCATGACCTGAACCAAACCAAGAGTCAATGCTTAACTGCCTAGGCCCCCCAGGTGCCCCAAGTATTATTGGTAGTTTTTAAATCTTCTTTTATTAATATGAAAAGCTGCAACCACAGCAATACAACTACCTGCTATATGTTTCTTCTTTTTTCAGTTTTGTTGGAATTGTAGGCACAGAGGCAATGCAATTGACAATGACCTAAATTCTCAATTTTTAAGGCCTGCAATAACTAGAAATTGTACTGCCCACAATTTAAAGTTTATATAAATGAAATATAGATTGCCTTACAGGAAGGGCTTTTTGGACAAGATAATCTGCAAGCCTTCTTCCATGTATAAACTTATATTCTGTATTTTATAATGGATATTGAACAAGTGAAGTCTTTTATTTTTAATAAAATATTCAAGTGCTTCTTTTAGTGTTGATCTTATTACATACTTGATAAATATTAATAAAACAATGATATAGAATATATTTGAATTATGTAGATGTTAAACAGCACAAGATAGTATGGGGAAAATACAGGTTATTTGAGTTTCAATATTAATAGTCTGATAAGTAAATATTCTGATTTTTAAAAAGAGGTAATTTGAAAAATTTAAGTTATTCAAATATAAATCAGTTATTAAAATGTGTCATATTCAAATACCTGTCTCCCAAATTATACTTGTTATTCCTGTAGGTATATCAAATCTATTTCCAGAAAGATAAATGAAAGTTTTTGTACTATTAAGTTTCAAAATATCTGACAAAATAGGGGTGCTTGGGTGGCTCAGTCAGTTAAGCTCTTGGTTTTGGCTCAGGTGATCATCTCAGGGTCATGAGATCGAGCCCAACCCCTCAGTGCAGAGTCGGCTTGGGATTCTTTTCCTCTTCCTCTCTGCTCCTTCCACTGTTCACACTCTCTCTCTTCCTCTCTCTCTCTAATAAATAAGTAAATAAAATCTTTTAAAAAATATCTGTGAAATTAACATACATGCAGAATAAACAATAATGTTTTATAAAGGTTAAAGTGTGTTAACCAGAAAAACAAACTAGTTTAGAATGCTCATCAACAGGAAGTTGAGGATGCCTGGGTGGCTCAGTTGGTTAAGCGACTGCCTTCAACTCAGGTCATGATCCCGGAGTCCGGGGATCGAGTCCCGCATCGGGCTCCCTGCTCAGCAGGGGGTCTGCTTCTCCCTCTGACCCTCTTCCCTCTCGTGCTCTCTATCTCTCATTCTCTCTCTCTCAAATAAATAAATAAAATCTTTAAAAAAAATAGGAAGTTGAAATGGAGAGTATAATTTTAGATGTACCTTCATCTCAAATATAAGCCCATAAGGAGATCATGATATATATCTACCTTAGCCCACTGGTCGACCTATATAAACCAATCCATTACTTTCCACGGAACTATACCGAGCTAGCAGAAATTTTAAAATGTTAAAGAAACCACAACCACTCATATTTCATCCTAGGCTTTCTGATTTCATAGGACTCCTGTCTGATTTGATAACTCCCTTTCATATAATTGGAATGAATACCTGAAAAGGCAGTTGAACTGCACTTTTCTCGGATGAGATTTCAATTGAGGTGAGAGGAAATAACTTCTTTACAAACACCTGGTTTTTCTGGGTAGATGACACACATAGTTAAGAAACATTTTGTATCATTCACTCAGTAAAGGTGGATATGTTTGTTTTTCCTCATAAGGAAACCATTTTAGACTGAAACATGTATTAATTGTAATAATTTCAAAGTTAATCACTGAAAACTGATTTTGAAATAATATTCAACTAAATAGTATCAAATTTTGAAAATCGGTTGCATATTTTGGTTATTTTAGTAAGTTTATATCACTTCTTTTTTAATATGTTATGGCTTAATAATAATCAGCTCTTATCTCATTAACAAATCTAAACTGACACATGCAGGTAAAATTGCATAATAACAGATGGTATTTAAAATTGTAAGCAGCCTTTAAAATGAAACAATTATTTTCAGTTTGCATAGTAAACTATTATTTGGTAGTGGAACACAGCTAAAATAACATTAAAATACTTGGAATATTGTTATTATGCTACTAGGTTTTTTTTATCTTAATTCATTTGCTTAATATTTCAGAATCCTGGGTTCCTAATTAACAGAATGGGGATTTAAAGTTCTATTTCCCATACCTTCCACATAAAGTTGTTTCAATGATCAAATGAGATGATCAAAAGAAATTTGTCGTATGCAAGCATTAGTTGTTATGCAAAATAATGCAAGCAAAACTGTCCAAAACTGTCCAAAACTGCTGACACTGATATCCCTTTTCTATTTCAGGCAAAAATACATTCAGCTTGACTGCCATTTGAATAGCAGTTGAGTAGAGGTGAAAATGTTGGTTGAAATGCAATGGAATAACTGTTCTCTGTCATCATATTTTTAGATCATATTTTTAGATACCATTTTAGGTATAAGTTACAACATAGCAGGAATCCTTAAAATATATAAAATTGAAATAATTAGAAGTGACATAGTTAAAACTAAAGAGTAGTTTTCAGTTATATATAATTCATTTTTTTCAATCAACATATTTATTGAGTACCTCAGTTATATATAATTCTTATCTTGAAAGGGGCTACATATGGTAAATGTATGTCCATAATAATCATCTTAGCAAACAAACAAAGATGTTAAGTTTACATGGATTAGCATATACCTACCGACTCCAGACATTTCAGGAACACTGGCAGTGTATAAGTCTTTTGTGAATTTTGGTTCATTGTCATTGATATCATGGATTTTAATAATAAATTCAGACTCAGGTTCCACCTGCCGCCCGGTCTTTCTGTCTATAGCCTTGGCACGAAGAATGTATAGGGATTTTTCTTCTCTGTCTAATTTCTTTGCAGCATGAATATCTCCTGTATTTTCATCTATAACGAATAGACTGCCAGCTCCATCTCCTGTTAATATGTATTTTAAATTTCCATCTCCTTTATCTTGGTCAGTGTGAAGCTTCAGAGAGGCAGAAAAGAAAAGTTCTATAAATACATGCATTGTTATTACAGAAAAAAATTAATTTTGGCACATAGCAATTCATCTCCACATAACATCACTGAAACAATGATTACAATGATTATCTTAATTTTCAGTGTAAGAATACTAAGAATTTCAGTTTTATCATTCTCAAAAATTTTAAATATATTTACATGTCATAAGGGGCTAAATTTAAAAGTAAGATAAAAATGAATATATCTTTTGAAACAAAGTTTTGAATGGTTCGAAGATTTAAACCTCTAGTACATAAACAAGAAAAAAATATCCATAAATCTAGAACTTGGGTAGATATACTCCTGATTACATTTAACATCATTCAACTCAAAGAGATGATGTGAGACATTTTGAACTTTTGATGATAAGTTTAGAATATATACCATAATTGTAAACTGATTTTACCTCCCTTCAGTATGATATTGTTTATAGATTCAGAGGCTCTGTCTTCAGAGAAATCAAACAGAGAGAGAGAATTTTAATTTTAATTTCAAATATTCTTCTCTATATGGCTTTGGGAACGTACACTTTCAAACATGGTGGTCTCATTTTTTTGGAAGTCGACATATCTATAGGCTTATTTAAAATCCCAAGTGATATTAAAAACACAGGGCTTTTCCACTGGCCATATAAATATTTTTTTTTTTATAAATTATCTTTCTTTTTCTGATACATAACGATCTTTAAAAGTAGACTTCTTAATGTAGAAGGCTGTCCGCTGAGTCCTTAAAATAGACAAATAGATCATGTATTCACAGAAATTTAGGAATTGGAAAAAATCTTAACATTTTTTCAAATCTAACACTATTCTGAAACTTGATTCTTAACTAGCCTATCCCTGCTTTGTTGTCTTCCATCATATACTTCACAATTCCCATTACATCCTGGCTCCACCTATTTCTTTGATGTCCCATTCCATCTTTGAATTATTTGACTATTTAAATAGTGTTTTTTTTTTATGGTAGCCAAAAAAACAAACTTGGGATTCATATTTTATTCCTCTTTACTTTTAATCCCAATGCTAAAATAATCATTTGCAATCTTTTCTTCTCTGAAATCTCTTCCCCACTCATCTATATGTCTCCATCTCTTTGGCTATCACCCTGGTTTTGTCTTCCATCATGTCTTATCTGGACCACTTTAGTAATCTCCTAATTGACGTCTGCCTCCCCTATTGCTCTACTCCATACAATTTTCAATTCTAAAGAAGGTGATTTTTCTACATTAAAAGTCTGGTCATGTTACCTCTTGGCTTAAAAATCTTCAACAAGTTACAGTGCAACAGAAACATGAAATCTTACAAACCTGGGTTAGTTCCATGCAAATTTTTGTGTTATATTGGGCACGTTGTGTATGTATTTAATCTAAACCTATTCTATTAAAAGGACGTAGTTTTCTTTTAAAAATAATCTTCATTTTTATTATTGTTCTAATTGTTTCGACTCTATCACCTTATTTATACATCTTCCATAATCTCATCCTTGTTTCCAGAGGCATCTCTGCCACCTTTACCCACTTCATTATCATTCTGTACAGACCAATTGTATTATTTTGCCTTGTACTATCTTCTTCATTTTCAGAGGGCCTGTTTCAGCTTTCATACTTGGTGTTTGCATTTTTTCCTCTTACCCTTTAATACTCTTCCCCTTCTCTGCTTTGTTTCCTAACTAAATATTTATCATAACTCATTTAAGATAGGGATGACTTCTCTGAGTCTCTAGATTAGAACAGATATGCCAGCTATGTAATTACAAAGCACATTGCAGTGCCCTATCATGATATTCATCACATTGAAATTGCTTACCATGCCCACTAAACCGTAAAATCTAAAAGAGAAAGATTGATATTTTTATTTTAAATTGCTAAGATTTCATTGAAGATGACATAAAAATGTAAAGGCATTCCATGCTCACATATTGAAAGAAAAAATATTGTTAAAATGTCTATACTATCCAAAGCAGTCTACACATTTAATGTAATCCCTATAAAAATACCAACAGCATTTTTCACAGAGCTTTAGCAAACAATCCTAAACTTTGTATGGAACCACAAAAGATTCCAATAGCTAAAGCAGCCTTGAAAAAGAAAAGCAAAGCTGGAGGTATCACAATTCCAGATTTTGAATTATATTACAAAGCTGTAGTAATCAAAACTATATGGTACTGGCACAAAAAATAGACACATATATTAATGGAACAAAACAGAAAAACCAGAAATGAACCTGCAACTATATGGTCAATTAATCTTCAACTAAGCAGTCAAGAATATCCAATGGGAAAAAGACAGTCTCTTCAGTAAATGGTGTTGAGAAAACTGGACAGCAACATGCAGAAGAATGAAACTGGATGACTTTCTTATACCATACATAAAGCTTAATTCAAAATGGATGAAAAACCTAAAACCATAAAAATCATAGGGGAGAACACAGGCAGTAACTTCTTTGATGTTGGCCGTAGCAGCTTCTTACCAGATATGTCTCCTGAGGCAAGGGAAACAAAAGCAAAAGTAAACTATTGGGACTTCATCAAACTAAAAAGCTTCAGCATGGTGAAGGAAACAATCAGTAAAACTAAAAGGCAACCAACAAAAAACACGAAATCTTGCCATTTGCAATGACGTGGATGGAACCAGAGGGTGTTATACTAAGCGAAATAAGTCAATCAGAAAAAGAAAAGTATCATATGATCTTTCTGATACAAGGAATTCTTAATCTCAGGAAACAAACTGAGGGTTGCTGGAGTGGTGGGGGGTGGGAGGGATGGGGTGGCTGGGTGATGGACATTGGTGAGGGTATGTGCTATGGTGAGCGCTGTGAATTATGTAAGACTGATGAATCACAGATCTGTACCTTTGAAACAAATAATACATTATATGTTAAAAAAAAAAAGAGAATAGTAGGAAGAGAGAATTGGGGGGAAATTGGAGGGGGAAATGAACCATGAGAGACTATGGACTCTGAGAAACAAACTGAGGGTTTTAGAGGGGAGGGGGGTGGAGGGATGGGTTAGCCTGGTGATGGGTATTAAGGAGGGCACATATTGAATGGAGCACTGGGTGTTATATGCAAACAATGAATCATGGAACACTACATCAAAAACTAATGATGTAATGTATGATGACTAACATAATAAAATAAAATTAAAAAAAAACTAAAAGGCAACCTTTGAAATGGGAGAAAAGTTATTTGCAAATGCCATATCTGATAAAGGGTTAATATTCAAATACATAAAGAACTTATAAAACTCAACACCCAAATAACCCAATTTAAAAATAAGCAGATGATATGAATAGACATTTTTTTCCAAATAAGACACACAGATGGCTAATAGAAACATGAAAAGATGTTCCAGATTGCTTATCATCAGGGAAATACAAATCAAAATTACAGTGAGATATCACCTCACACCTGTCACAATGGGTAAAATCAACAACACAAGAAACAACAGGTGTTGATGAGGATGTGAAGAAAGGGGAACCCTCTTGCAGTATAGGTGGGAATACAAACTGGTGCAGCCACTCTGGAAAACAGTATGAAGTTTCCCCAAAAAGTTAAAAATAGAACTATCCTATGATCTACCAATTGCACTACTAGGTATGTACCCAAAGAATAAAAAAATACTGATTCATAGGGATATGTGCACCCCAAAGTTTATAGCAGGATTATCTGCAAGAGCCAAATTATGGGAAGAGCCCAAATGTCCATCGACTGCTAAACGGATAAAGGAGATGTGTGTGGGGGTGTGTGTATCATATGATTTCACTCATATATGGAATTTAAGAAATAAAACAAAAGAACATAAGGGGGAAAAGAGAGGAAAGCCAAGAAACAGACACTTAACTATAAAGAACTAACTAATGGTTACCAGAGGGGAGGTGGATGGGGATATGGATAAAATAGGTTATGGGGGTTAAGGTGGGCATTTGTTGTGATGAACATCCGGTGTTTTATGTAAGTGTTGAATCACTAAATTCTAAAACTAAAACTAGTATTACACTGCATGTTAACTAAACTGGAATTTAAATTAAAACTTGAGAAAAAATGTCAATGGAAATTTTACATACATGCACATGAATCAAAATTATTTTTAATTTTTTCTGCGTATTTATCAGTTTTCCATGTATTTAACATAATGATGATATGTCAACCTAAAAAAATAGCCCCTTTATTACCAAAATGAATGTATTTGGGAATAGCAGAGGAATTCTAATTCAGGACAAGCAAACTAAGGCAAGCCATAGGCAAATCTGAGGAGACAAAGAGAAAGTCAGCTTTTATTAAGTTTGAGGAAGAAATTGAGGACGGTTGTTTTAAACCAAAGTCCATTGGACAAGAACAAGAATTTGAGGTTGTGACAGTTTCTCATTGGCTGCGAGTGGTGGTTAGTGTGTTGTTGCTGGAGCAGAAAGAGATCGTCCTTCTTGCAGGTTATGGAGGCTGCAACCTGTGTTAGGTGTGGGAGATATGTTTTTATATCTTACTTAGATTCGAATACCTATGGAAACCATTCACTTTTCATTTTTTTAAATATTTATTTATTTATTTATTTGAGAGAGAGAGGATGAGAGATAGAGAGCACGAGAGGGAAGAGGGTCAGAGGGAGAAGCAGACTCCCTGCTGAGCAGGGAGCCCGATGTGGGACTCGATCCCGGGACTCCAGGATCCTGACCTGAGCCGAAGGCAGTCGCTTAACCAAGTGAGCCACCCAGGTGCCCACCATTCACTTTTCAAACATTCTCTCCTCATTTAAAGTACTTTGAAGTCTGGAAAAATATTTACCCAGCATGGTAATCATAATCACTGCACTTTTCTCTGAATGATTTTATATTTGATTTTAAAAATTTCAAGGAAAATTCGGTATTAAAATTATGCTGCTGGCACTGAATATGGGGTGCAGAGAGAAATTAAATTATTTATGGATTTTCAGATTAAGTACATTATCTAAAAATACTGAATTTTACAAGAT